CTGGAGCCAGCTCCACCAGCAAGGTTCCAGCTGTGCGCAAAGAATTCGGAGCCGTCGTTTGAGGGAGCGGCAGTTCCATTGCGCGAGGGTGGTCGAAGGCCCGTTATACGATCGCGCCGCCGATCCAAGAACGATGGATGCTACTTGGCATGCGGCCTTTCATTCGTCAGCATCATGACCAATAAGACTCACTGTTAGAATGACGGTGGCTTCAACGTCACGCGGGAATGGTAGCAGAAGACCCTGGCAAACGCGCAGGGGATTCGTCGAAAAACTACAACATAAATACTACAGCAGAGAAGGGTAATTAACATGAATATAGAGATATGAAAGGCCCAGGTCCGCAGGAGTTAAGATGCAGAGGGAAAGGAACAGGTACGGTTGCGAGGATAGATAAATAAGTAATGTTACCTTATTGGGCTCCTTGGGGTTGTGCGAGCGCGGACTCGTAATTCCAACACTCACCAGACTGAAACGCGCTGCAATCTCCTTCTCCTTAAGCTTCGCACGGTGCCTATATTGAGAGGACGTGTCCAAGATGCGTGTCCAGTCGCCGATCCGCTGCCGGATCAAGTTGACTGAGACTCGGATCAAATGACGCGTTGACGACTTATCCCCAACTTGTCCCCTCGACTCAGATCATTGCCTGGCAAAACTGCGCTACCAATACCCTCGTAACTTCCCCCTCTCAGTCTGCACGCGGGATGGACCACAACAGAATTTATCCAGAGAAATGCAACTTGGATCTCGCACAGGTTCCCTCAATGCCAAAAAAGAAATGTCAGCTCACCGGCGTCAAAATCAAGAGCTTGCTTATCGTCGTTGGTCTTTACTTGATCTATTGGGGGCGGGCGCACTTGCCGCAGGTACAGACAAATCTCTCCTCTCCCTCGTCCATGATTCGAGAACTTGCCACAGCACTCTCCCTCAGCGCGGCCGATCGACTGGAAGCCTTGCCACGAGGATTCGTCGTTCCTATGCGGTTACCTAAAGTGAGCTCAGTTCATTCCTGTTTCAACCATTTATCAAGCGACTGCTATAGCGTTCCAACAGATTATGACAATCCCTCAGCTGGAACGTCCCGGCTGGCACTGTCGAATTACCCAGCTACATGTCCCGAATCCGAGCGTCTGGGTATCATCCTCACCAACGTGAGCGCATCCCAAATCACACGATATGAGCTGACAGCGAAAATATAGTTCGGTGGCCCTGGCGTTCCAGGACGAGAGGCTTCATTCGGATCCGGTGCACGAATCCAGAATTTCACTGGAAACAGGCATGATATTGTCAGATTTTTGCATTACATCGTCTCATTCCTTCCAGACACGACATCATCTCTTTCGACCAGCGCGGCCTGGGCCATTCCCTCCCAAAGGTAAACTGCTTCGGCTCCGGGCTAAGATACCAGATGTTCAAGACCAACACCGTTTTCGAAACGACTTTTTCTGTGCCCCAAAATCCGTTCTCGGCCGCCGGGCGCGCAGTTCTGATTGAACAACAAAAAGAGGCACTTGCCCTCGAAGAGACGCAAGGAACCATATGTGCGCAGACGGTCGGCGCTGAGGCGTTGGGATTCATGAGCACGACCACGACCATACACGATATGGAGGAGATATCGCGGGTGCTTGTTGGCGGAGACGCCCCCATTAATTTTGTGAGGCACTTCATTTCAATAAGATTCTTGCCATTAACCTTGACGACAGTGGGGCGGCGTAAGTACCTAGTCATGCCGTCGTAACCTGCATTCAACTTGTTTCAGTCCTACGGCACGATCGTCGGCGCATACCTGGCCAACATGCTCCCACACAAAGCGGGGAAAATCCTTATCGACGGTGTAGTACCCGCAGACATGTAAGCAGCTTCTTGCCTCACTGTAAGTAACTAACATTTTGCAGGTGGGCCAATGAGCATTATGATTCGCAGGTTCTCCTTCGTCTCCTACTTACCGATTCAGAGTGCGTTCGGTGTTCATTAACGGATATCAATCGTGACAGTTTCTAGGAAAACATACCAGCTCTACCTCACCGAATGCTTCAAGGCTGGTCCGGATCACTGTGCGTTGGCCAGTACGGCGGATTCGGGCGCGAAAGACATCGAGAAGCGGATCGACGACTTTGTGGATAAGCTCCAAGAGCAGCCGATGCGGGTCACCAACTACACCCGGCCAGGGTATCTCACCTCCGGCGGTGTTCGAAGTGCGTACACATCCACCCACCCTTCCACATCCATTCAAGAACTCGCACTATTTTAGGCACGTTCTTCATCGCGCTCCAAATGCCCGAAATGTGGGTAACCTACGCGGAAATGCTGGCCAGTGCAATCAACGACGCCGACGGCGCGCCCCTCATGCGGATGATTGCGCGAAGGTACATGGATCCGGCGCCGGGGCCCGACCCCGATGGCTACATTGAGACGGGGCAGAGCGAGCTCCTGCGACTGGCCATCTCATGTGGCGATGCCCGTTCGTACCAGAAAGGGGAGAAGTGGCCGACGGCGGAGGACATCGTGGATAATATTTTAGTGACGCTGGGAAAATTTCCGCGATTCGGCGCGACGTGAGATATCCTTTCTCATCGTCGTATTCCTCCTCTGCTCACAGGATATGTTTCAGTGTCCATCTGATGGAGCAGCACGGCGGATGTCACTTTTGGCCCGGAACCGGGGTGGGGCCGACGCGCTTCACTGTGAGTGAGATTGGGGCATCTTTGACCATTTCTAATGGCGCATCTCAACCAACAGGGTCCGTTCAACGTAAGCGCTACTTTCATCCCTCGTTTCTGCAGAAGCTCACGTCCAGACAGAAAACATTGGCAACGCCAATGTTGCTCGTCGCAAACACACGCAAGCTTTACGCATTCCATTTAACTCGGAGCTGACCGCACAACATTGCAGATGACCCGATAACGCCGTACGCGAGCGCAAAGATCGTGCAAGAGACAATGGGCGACTCCGCGCGGCTCCTCTTCCAGGGCACCGCAGGTGAGTTCCTGTTCCTCCGTCGCGCAGAGTCCAACGAAGGTTAATCAAATTTAGGGCACTCGTACCTCGCGCCGACTACGGAATGCGCGACGCGCGTTATTCGTAGCTACTTCGCAGACGGGGTCGTCCCCGAAGTGCCCGAGACGTGGTGCGAGCGCGAGGTCGAGAACTACTTCATCGATCAGAGGGATATCGCGGTAAATCCGAGTGTAATGTCGAGGATGCTGGGCTAACGGTCGGGTGGGTCTCTGTTGTGAGCTTAACATTTCGGCATACATGGAAACAAGGATGTCCTTTGCTTATGAAAAGGTTAAGGGATGAGAAGTAGGTATACACAGCTTCTTTCACGCAGAAGTAGCTCGGTCGATCCGCATGTTCCATTCCCAAGAGCTTTTTGCCCACTCGATGCTTTCAAAAATATTGAGAGAAGGAAGAGGGAAAGGAAGGCTCGGTGGGGGGGGGTTCCACATCTGCATTCTGTCTGTCGATCGAAAGTGTTTAAGAGAAGTTGCCCGTTCGATTCGGGCCCGAGCCATGGCCTAATACGGAGGGAGTTTTTGCCCACTTGATGCTTCCAATTAAAAATGCTGGGATATAGATTATAGAGGGTAGGATAACACAGGAAAGGCTCAGTGGTAGGAGGTCCATATCTGCATTCTGTTGCCAGTTTATAATCTTCATTTAAGAAGAAGCAGCCTGTTCGATTCGGGCCTGAGCCATTTCCACTTCCCCCGCGGAATTTTTGCCCACCAGATGCTTCCAAAAATCCTGGGATATGAAAGTTAGTACGAAGGGAAGGAAGTCTCGGTGGTGGGTGGTCCATGTCTGCATTCTGTGGCTGGCACAAATAAAGATCAAGCAGACTAAGGCCGTTCAATTTGGGCCCCAGCCATTCAATGCCATATCCAAGTCTTTTTACCCTCTAGAAGCTTCCAAAAGTGCCCGGATATAGAGGGTAAGAAAAGGAAAGGAAGGCTCGGTGGTGGGAGGCCCATTTCTGCTTCTGTTAGGTGATTGTGGCGAGAGTTTAGGCAGAAGCTGCCTATTCGATTCGGGCCCGAGCCATGTTCCGTTTCCAAACGACTTTTTGCCTACTATAATGCTTCCAAAAATGCTGGGATATTGAAGGTATGCAGAGGAGAAGCAAGGTTCGAGGGTTGGAGGTCCAAATCTGCATTCTGTCAGTCGACCGACACAGAGTTTAAGCAGAGGCAGCCTGTTCAATTCAGGCCCAAGGCATATCCACTTTCGATGTGTTGTGCCTGCTACATAGATGCTTCCAAAAATCCTGGGATATTGAAGGTAGGCAGAAGGTAAGAAAGGCTCGGTGGTGGGTGGTCCATGTCTGCATTTGATAAAAAAGAAAAGTGCTCCCAGCAGAAGTTGCCTGTTCAATTCGGGGCGGAGCCACTTTCAAGTTTGAGAACTTTTTGCCCACCAGATGCCTTCAGAAATGCCGGGATATTAATGGTAGGAATGAGGGGAAGAAAGGCTCGGTGGTGGGTGGTCCATGTCTGCGTTCTGTGATCAAAATGGATAGTGGTTCAAGCAGAAGTTGCCTGTTCGATTCGGGCCCGAGCCATGGCTGCTGTCTGATGCATTTTTTTATTTTTATTCTGGCCTAGCTGCTTTCAACAGTCCTGGTATATAGGGGGTAGGAAGAGGGGAAGGAAGGCTCAGTGGTGCGGGGCCCATATCTGCATTCTGTCACCAGGTCATAAATCCTTTAAGCAGAAGCAGCCCGCTCAATTCGGGCCCGATCCATTATGTTGGATTTCAAAGGTTTTTTTGAACTGTACTGAATGAGACATGCAAAAATGCCCATTTATTTATGGTGGGTTGAAGAGAAGAAAGGCTCTGTGGTCCACATCTGTGTTCAGTGAGTTGACCGGGGGATAATTAAGCAGATGCAGCCCGTTCGATTCGAGCCTGAGCCATTGGTCCTGCTGCACAGACTTTTTTTTCCGGGTTGGTTGGGTTCAAAAATGCTAGGATATTGAAATTAAAAAGAGGGGAAGCAAGGCTCGGTGGTGGGTGGTCCACATCTGCTTCTGTTGTTGATCCGGGTCTGCATTTAAGCAGAAGTTGCCTGTTCGATTCGGGCCCGAGCCATTCGCCAGGCTGATTCATTTTTTCTTGGGCTGGCCTCACAAAAATGCAGGGACATTGAATGCAGGGACATTGAATGCAGGGACATTGAATGCAGGGAGAGGGTAAGGAATGCTCGGTGGTGGGAGGTCTATCTCTGCATTCTGTTGCCAGTCCAGTGACTCGTTTAAGCAGAAGCAGCTGTTCGATTCGGGCCTGAGCCACAATTCAGGTGCAGAAGTTTTTTTCTGGGTCAGCTGACACAAAAATGCTGGGATATTGAACGCCGGGACAGGGTAAGGAAGGCTCGGTGGTGGGTGGTCCATGTCTGCACTCGGTGGTCGGATACATTGGGCATTAAGCAGAAGCAGCCCGTTCGATTCGGGCCCGCGCTATTGGCCATTAACCATGATTTTCCCCACTAGATGCTTCCAGAAATGTTGGCTTATTGAAGGTATGAAGAAGGAAAGAAAGGCTCGGTGGTGGGTGGTCCACATCTGTGCTCTATGAGGTGTTTTCAAACCAATCAAGCAGATACAGCTCGTTCGAGTCGGGCCTGAGCCATTTGTGTGAAGATGAACATGTTTTTCCTGGGCTGGCCTCACAAAAATGCTGGGATATTGAAGGTATTAAGAGGGTAAGAAAGGCTCGGTGGTGGGTGGTCCACATCTGCATTCCGTGTCCCAGAGGAAACCGAGATTTTACGCAGAAGCAGCCCGTTCGATTCGGGTCTGAGCCATCATTGAGTAGGGTGGGAATCTTTTTTTGTTTTGTTGGGGTCGTTGACACAAAAATGCTGGGATATTGAAGTTCGGATGGGGGCAAGGAAGGCTTGGTGGTGTATGGTACACATCTGCATTCTGTAGTTCATCCGCCAGGTCAAGCAGACACAGCCCGTTCAATTCGGGCCCGAGCCATTGACCATCGCCGAAGATTTTTCCTCCAATAGATGCTTCCAAAAATCAGTGGATAATGAAGGCAGGAAGAGGGTAAGGAAGGCTCAGTGGTGGGTGATCCATGTCTGCGTTCCATACATATGGAGCCTGCAATGTGCTTGAAGCAGAAGCAGCCCGTTCAATTCGGGCCCAAGCCATTTGGTAGTTGGGAGATCTTTTTGCCCACTAGATGTTTCTATAAATGCTGATATATTGAAGTTAGTAAGAGGGCAGGAAAGGCTTGGTAGTGGGTGGTCCATATCTGCATTCTGTTACCAGGTTATAAATCCTTTAAGCAGAAGCAGCCCGTTCGATTCGGGCCCGAGCTATTCGAAGTCGCGGATGATTTTTGAGTCCGGCTAGCAGACAGGAAGACACTTGGATATTGACAGTAGGATGAGGGTAAGGAAGGCTCGGTGGTGGGTGGTCCACATCTGCACTCTGTGGCTAAGCTTGGATAGACATTTAAGTAGACGCAGCCCGTTCGATTCGGGCCCGAGCCATTAGCGGGATCGTAACTATTTTTTGAGTCCGGCTAGCTGCTTTCAAAAATCCTGGGATATTGAGGGTAGGATGAGTGCAAGGAAGACTTAGTGGTTCCACATCTGCATTCCGTAGGTAAGTGCGACAGGTCGAGCAGACACAGCCCGAGCCATGTTCCATGTCAAATGGAGTTATGTCCATTGGATGCTTATAAAAATCCTGGGATATTTAATGCAGGGAGAGGGAAAGGAAGGCTCGGTAGTGGGTGGTCCGTGTCTGTGTCTGTTAGTAATATGCTGTGCTCTACAATACTTTAAGCAGAAGCAGCCCGTTCGATTCGGGCCCGAGCTATTGGCCATTAACCATGATTTTTCCTCACTAGATGCTTCCACAAATGTTCGCTTATTGAAGGTGTGAAGAGGGAAAGAAAGGCTCGGTGGTGGGTGGTCCACATCTGCGTCTGTTCAATATTTCTCTCGCCGGTTTTAGCAGACCCAGCTCGTTCGAATCGGGCCCGAGCCATTACGCAGGCAGTCGTAACTTTCTTCTTCTTTTGCTCCGAGTGTTTGGCGCGCAGGATTCACACTGATAGTGAGGGAAAACTGGGTGTCTGAACTGCTGCAAGCTGGAGCCTGGTTGAAAGCAACTGGAAAGAGACACCGCTGATCCGGCCCTTTAGCTTTCCGCGAGTCGTCGCTGCTTCTTTGCTCAATGTTGCTCGAAGATGGCGTTCAGCGTGGTCGTAAATAACGCTGTGTGGGTGTGGGCTACGTGGCGGCCGGATCGCGGTAAAAAAAGGCCGTGTGACCACTCCGATCACTCCGAGTCTCAAGCTCCCGCGATTCGGGTGTCTCTCCCACTTGAAGTGCTACAGCCGATGATCCAGTATCTTGCATGAGCGCAGCCTACACCCCGCTGCCTACCCAGGCCGACCCTAACGGCCACCACTACCCACCACCGCGCACCAAGGCCCTCCTCGCGCGCCTCGTCCCCACCAGCGGCCCGCCCCCGCGCCTCCGCCGCCTCCTCCTCCTCGTCACCGTCCTCGCCCTCAGCTCGACCCTCCTCGTCTACCTCGTCTTTGCCTCCTCCTTCTCGTCCCTCGCGCCGCTGCGCGACGCATACAACTACTACGGCAGCGGCGGCGCATCCGGGGGCGCGGGCGGGCCAGGGAACGGAGGGGGCGCTTGGAGCGACGCCGGCGACCCGCGCAGCCCGTTCTTCCGCGACCCGCACCCGGCGTTGCACGCGCGCCTCTTCCTCGGGCGCGCGCAGGCCGAGATCCGCCGCGCCAAGCTCGACACGTGCGCCGGGCAGCTCAGCGCGCCGATGGTCGACGCGTACCTCGCCGCCGCCACGCCGTACTGCACGCCGCGTAATGATGATAGTAATAACACCGACGTCAGCAGCGCCACATGCTTCCCCGCGCACGCGGGGCCCGGGACGCCGAACCAGTGGTGGCCGTACGCGCAGGCGTTCTGCGCGTCGCGCAACCTCGCGCACACGCACGGCTGGGGCGGCGACTTCCCCGCGCGCGGGTCGTTCACCGGCCGGTGCACCGTCACGCCCGCGGGCGCGCGGCTGAAGATAGACATGGGGCGCGAGGGGTTCCTCGGCGCCGAGTTCCGAGTGGAGGAGGAGGAGGAGGAGGGGGAGGGGAGGGCGTGCGGCGAGACGATCGACCACCCGGTGCTCTTCGTCCCGCGGCAGGACCGCTGGAACCCGTTCCACGTCGGCGAGGACCTCGTCACGACGTTCCTCGCGCTCACGCTCTTCTCGCGGCACATCTCCCCGCCCTCGTCCACCACCTGGACTGCGCTATCGCACTCGTTCGGGACAGGCGCGCGGGCGGACGCGGGGCTCGCGGGGCAGCTCGAGGCGGAGCTCGTGGGCGCGGCTGGACTGCAGCTCGTGTTCCTCGACGACCACCTGCCGACGGCGTCGCTGTTCGCGCCGCTGTACGATCGCATCGGCGCGTTTGTGCCCCGGCGGACGGCCGCGGAGGCGCTGGGCGAGGGGGGTGAGTGCCTCTCTTCATTTCTTTTTGGTTTTGGTTTTCGCATTCGTCCGTCCATTGCACTCCCCGTCCCCCATGTTCCCTTTGATCGCCCCCATCCTGCGTGCTACTCGTTTCACCCCGCCCCCTCCACGCCACGCATTCTCCGCGCCACGCCTCTCCACCCTTCCCCACATCGTCCCGCCTGCCCTCCTACTCCTACTCCTACTCCTACTCCTACTCCCACCCCTACCCTCCCCCGGTCTTTTCCTCCCTCCGCCTCCCCATGCATCGTCCATGCATCCCCATCCCCATCCCGACCCTGTTCCTTTTCTTGTTCCTGTTCCTGTCCCTGTTCCTGTCCCTGTTCCTGATCCGTTCCCTCCTTCTCGCCCCGCCGTTATCCCGCCCCATTCCATCGAGCCCCTCCTGACGCATACCGCTTCCGTCTTTCTACGTCCTGTTCCGTCTTCTCCCACAACGCCCGTCCTCCGTCCTCCCCCTCTCGTCCCCCGCCTTTTCCTTTCCTTTTCCTTTTTGATTTCATCTTGTATTTCATTTATACATTTATACATATCCTTACTAACGCCCGCAGCCCCGACCTGCTTCCGCACGGCCTTCCACTCCGTCGGCGCGGGCGCGTCGCTGCTGAGCGCGACGCACGTCGGGCGCCCGTACGGCTGCGCGAGCGAGCTCGTGTGGGGCGCGGCGCTGTGGCTCAGGTGGGTGTGGGGGCTCGAGGGCGGGGCGGTGGCTTTTGATTCTTCTGTTTATTCGGAGTATGGTGCTGCGCGGAATGCGCGGAGAGGGGAAGCGGAATGGGACGGGGAAGGAAGGGGAGGGGAGGTGGGGGTGGGGGTGGATGTGGATGTGGAGAAGCGCGAGTGGGCGCCGCGCGCGGAGCCGGTGCAGGTGCTGTTTCTGTCAAGGGAGAAGTTCGATGCGTTTACGAGGTGCGTGCGGTTTTTTGGTTTTTTTTTTGAGGCGAGGCGGGGGCGGGGGTGTAGATCCCCGATTCTCGCGTCTGCGCATGCTCGTCTTCTCCTTCCTGCTTCCTGCTTCCTCCTGTCTTAGCTCCCACCGCTAACCCCGCAAAAACAAAAACAGACACAAAAACGCGAACCACAAGCTCTCGCAGTGGCAGGAGGCGCGGCACATCGCGAACGAGGGCGCGCTGCTCGCGGGGCTGCGTGCGGGGCTCGCGGGGCTGTGTCGGGTGGGGACTATCGGGGGCGGGGGTGCGTGTTTTTTGATCCTGTCTTTTTTTTTGCCGTGATCGACCAACGCGCTACCGTGTCGGGGTGTGCACCGCCGTCTGGGGACGAGCCGGAGTCGCGGCGTACACAGGGGCAAAGTGTAGATGTGCTATCCCACGCGCGGCGGTGCAGTCGGTGTCAACGGGCTTGCGATGGCACGAGTCCCAGTTGGACGGGCCCGGGAGTCGTGGTGGGGCGCGCGCAGCCGCGCGGGCGGGGTAGTCGTGCGCGTGTCGGGAGTTTGGGCCGCCCGCCGCTTCTCGCCGGTGGGACGTGGCCACGATTTGCGGACCGCTTGGGGGTTTTGTTACTCGATTGCGACGTCGCGGTGTCCTCCCTGTCATGCCCATTTATTCTGTTCCACTCTATTCGACTTTACTCTACTCTATCCCCCTCAAACGCAGACTAACGCACACCCGCAGGTACACCCCCCGCCGGCGGCGTCGGGGCGCACGAGTGCACGTACACGGACGCAGACGCGTTCCCCGACGCGTGGGGCGTGCGGATGCACCCCCGGGAGGCGCGTGCGCTGGGGCTGGAGGCGGCGCGGGGTGGGGCTACATCGGGACACGCACCAGGCGAAGCGGCACACGACACACACGAATCGACACACGACTCAGCACAAGGCAACACCACGCACGCCGCGCGCGCGCCTCTCCCGCGCGGGGCGGCACGCGCGCTGCGCTTCGCGACGCTGGACCCGACGACGAGCGCGCTGGCGACGCAGCTCGGCGCGGTGGGGCGCGCGGACGTAGTGGTGAGCGTGCACGCGGGCGCGCTGGGGCTGACGCTGTTCATGCCGCCGGGGCGCGCAAGCGTCGTGGAGCTGGTTACGGTGGGGTCGTCGGGGGTGAGTCTTTTTTTCCTTTTTGGTGGCTTCTCGTTCCTTCTTTGCGTTTCGTTGGACCGACCTTCCCCCCTCCACTGTCTTTCTTCCCTTCCGTCTACCTGTACCCTCCACCCGTCCGCCCGTACATCCGTACTCCCGTCTACCGTGTACCCGCCCCTCCTCCTTCCCCCATCCTTCCGTCCACCCGTGTTCCCGAACCACCGCGTACTTGTTCCTTCCACCCGTCCACCCGTCTACCCGTCCTTCCTTCCTACCCTTCGCCCGTTCTACCGACCATCCGCTCCGCGCCGCCTACCCGTTTTACCGCCATGTCAGCGACTTTGCGTCCTTCCCTCCCCATGCTCTTCCCTCCCCGTCACATTTACCGTTCTGTCCGTCCAACCGTCCTTCCTTCCTTCCTTCCTCGCTTCCTTGCTACCGTGCCCCCGTATCCCGAACTGCCGTCCACCCGCATTCCCGAATCGCGTACCCGCTCTTCCTTTGCCCCTGTCATTCCTTTTTACCCTCCATCCGTTTACCCGCTCTACCGACCATCTATTTCTCTCCGCTTTACCGTGACTCTCGTCGGTAGCGGCGCCGTTTACTATTCCCTTTACCGTCGTTCCGTTTACCCGCTCTACCGATCATCCACTCCTCTCCACCATACCGTTCAACCCCGTTCAGCCGAACTGCCGACTCTTGTCGGTAGCGGCGCCTTTCACCATCCTTCCGTTTACCCGTACTGCCGATCCGTTCTTCCGTCTC